TGTCCTCCCTCCTCCCTCGTCTTTGTCGTCGTTGTCATCGTTGTCGCCGTCGTGGTCCTCCCTCCTCCCTCGTCGTCGTCTTCGTTGGCAACGTCGTCGTCGTCTTCATCGTCGTCGTCGGCGTCGTCGTCGTCTTCGTCGTCGTCGATGTCGGCGTCGTCGTCGTCGCTGCCGTCTTCGTCGTCGTCGTCGTCTTCGGCGTCGTTGACGTCGTCGTCGTCGTCGGTGTCGTTGTTGTCGTCGTCGACAGTGTTGTCATCGTCGTTGTCGTTGTCATCGACGTCGTCGTCGTCGTCTGCGTCGGTGTCGTCGTCGTCGTCGGTGTCGTCGTCGTCGTTGTTGTCGTTGTCGGCGTCGTCGAAGTCGTTGGAGACGTCGTTGGTGTCGTTGTAGTCGTTGTCGGCGGCGTCGTCGTCGTCGTTGTCGCTGTCGCGGTCGGCGTCGCTGTCGTTGCCAAGTGCCATTTGGTACCCACCGTCAAGGTCTTAAAAGATTTTGCAAACCAAGTTGCGGGTGGGTGGGTGGGATGTTTGCGCGAGCAGTGGAGTGGACAACTCATTGCGAACAGAAATTAATTGCACCACGTAGACTGCACGAAAAAAATCGCGCCCGCGGCGCTCTGTTTGATCGAATGCATCATACATTGCATTGTATAGATTGCACAACACACGTTGCATTTTTTTATGGAACGACTGCATGTATTGCACCAGATAAGTTGCACAACATGGGCTGCACCATGTCGATCGCGCGACTTATATTGGGTGACCACATATGTTGCACAATCTACGTTGCATTACCACGTAGATCGCACAACGTATATGGCACCACATATATTGCACCGCGTACATTGCACCGCATAGTTTGCACCGCGCAGATTGCCCCACCTAGATTGCATCACCCACATTTAACGATTTGATTTCCCGCCTGCGGTGCGTTTCTGGTCGCTCACAAAGTAAGTTGTGCTGCGTGCGTTGCACACCATTAGTTCCACAACATGTATTCTCCTTTCCAGAAAGAGAATAGATTCTACCCCCCCCTCGGCGTTATCCGTTCCCCTTTCGGGTATGTAAATCATGTATGATTATGACCACTTGTCCATTCGAAATATGAATTTACACTATCCTAGGGGGGCCGGCATCGGCCCCCCTGAGGTTCCTTTGTAAAGAACAATGCGCGGGGACATGTTTTGTTCTAACATCAGATTTTTTCACGAATCCCTGGCAAACAATGGGACGAAGTGCACACGCGCGCGCCGTCGCGCGAGCATGCCGAAATCCTTCAAAAACCTTCGGTGCCAGAAGGATTTCGCAATCGAGTTCCCAAACAACATACAACAACACAGGGTTTCGCAACACTGATTCGCTAAAAAAGCTTACGCGCGAGCTCTTGCGAAGTCTTAAGAGAACCATCGGTTTTTCAAGATTTTCACACAATGCTACCAAACGGGCTTCGCGCGCGCGCATGTCGAAATCTGTGAAAGAGCCTGTTCTACCGCTGCAGGCGGAAAACCGGGGGGGGTCACTACCGGTTCGAACCCCTCCCCCCCCCCCCACCCGCCTCCGGAAAACCAGGGGGGGTCACTACCGGTTCGAACCCCTCCTCCCCCCCCCCAGTTCATCATGAAAAGGGGGGGGGGGGGTCACTACCGGTTCGAACACCCCCCCCCCTTCCCGAAAACTGGGGGGGTCACTACCGGTTCGAACCCCCCCCCTTCCTCGAAAACCGAGTGGGGGTGCGGACAGTGGTGGGGACGGTGATGGTGGGGACAGTGGTGAGGGGACAGCGGGACAGTGGTGAGGGCAGTGGGACAGTGGTGGGGACGGTACTGGTGGGGACAGTGGTGAGGACAATGGTGGGAACAGTGGGGACAGTGGACAGTGGTGGGGACGGTGGTGGTGGGAACAGTGGTGTGGGGACAGTAGGAATGAGGTGGAAACAGTGGGACAGTGGAGGGTACAGTGGTGGTGGGGACAGTGGTGAAGGCGGTGGCGAGGACGGCGGTGGGACAATGGGACAGAGGTACAGTGGGGACAGTGGCGGGGACAGTGGGGACAGTGGTGGGAACAGTGGGACAGCTCAGTGGGACAGCGGAGGAGTCAGTGGGACAGTGGGGACAGTGGGGATAGTCGGGCAGTGGTTGGGGCCGTGGAGAAAGTGGGGAGAATGGAACCGTGGTGGGAACAGTGGTGGGGACAGTGGGGACAGTGCGACAGTGGTGGGGGCACTGGTGGGGACAGTAGGGGCGGTGGTGGAACCAGTGGGGACAGTGGTGGTGAGGACAGTGGTGCTGGGAACAACAGTGGCCCGGTAGTGATTCCCTTTCGGTTTTGGGGGGGGGGAGGGGTTCGAACCGGTAGTGACCCCCCCCCGGTTTTCGAGGGGGGGAGGGGGGGGGGTCGAACCGGTAGTGACCCCCCCCCGGTTTTCGAGGGGGGGGGGGGGGGGGGGGAGGGGTTAGGGGAGGGGGGGGTTTTGCCAGGGGAGGGGAGGGGGCGGGGGGGGGGGGTCCAGCAGGGGGGGGGGACCCCCGGGTTCTGGAGGAAAAGGGCGGCAATTTTCCACAGTAAAGCGGCGGTGGATCACGCTCTCTCAAATCTGTCGAAGGCCCTTGCGCGTGTGTTGTCGCGAGAATCCTCTGCAAAAAATGGGACGATGTGCAGACGCGCGCGTCGTCGCGCGCGTATGCCGAAATCCTTCAAAACCCATCGGTTTCGGAAGGATTTCAAAATCGTGTGTCCAAAAAACCTACAAAAACACAAGGTTCCGCGACACGGATTTTCAACAAAAGCGTGCGCGAGCGCTCTTGCGTCGTCGTCGTCGTCGTCGTCGTCGTCGCCGTCCTCCCTCCTCCCGCGTCGTCGTCGTCGCCTACGTCGTCGTCGTCGTCCTCTTTGGCGTCGTGGTCGTTGCCGTCGTCGTTGTCGCCGTGGTCGTCCTTCCTCCTCATCCCTCGTCGTCGTCGTCGTCCGTCGTCGGCGTCTCGTCGTCGTCCCTCCTATTTCGTCGCCGTCGTCGTCGTCGTCGTCGTCGTCTTCCCTCCTCCCTCGTCGTTGTCGTCGTCGGCGTCGCCGTCCCTCCTTCTTCGTCGTTCGCGTCGTCGCCGTCCTCCCTCCTCCCTCGTCGTTGTCGTCGTCGTCGTTGTCGCGGTCGTCGTCCTCCCGCCTTCCTCGTCGTCGTCTTCGTTGGCGACGTCGTCGTCGTCGGCGTCGGCGTCGTCGCCGTCTTCGTCGTCGTCGACGTCGGCGTCGTCGTCGTCGCCGCAGTCGTCGTCTTCGGCGTCGTTGACGTCGTCGTCGTCGTCGGTGTCGTCGTTGTCGTCGTCGTCGGCGTCGTCATCGTCGTCGTCGTTGTCATCGTCGTCGTCGTCGGCCTCGGCGTCGTCGTCGTCGTCGTCGGTGTCGTCGTCGTCGTTGCCGGCGTCGTCGAAGTCATTGGAGACGTCGTCGGTGTCGTCGTAGTCATTGTCGGCGGCGTCGTCGTCGTCGTCTTCGCTGTCGTCGTCGGCGTCGCTGTCGCTGCCAAGTGCCATTTGGTACCCACCGTCACGGTCTTAAGAAGAGATTGTGCAAACCAAGTTGCGGGTGGGTGGGTGGGATGTTTGCACGAGCAGTGGAGTGGACAACTCTTTGCAAACCAACATTAATTTCAATCCATGGACTGCACCGTGTTGTTTGCGTTACATATATGGCACAGCATAGCCCGCGCCACACGCATTGCACAACGTATAGTGCACAACATAGGTCGCCAAAATCACACTGTTTGGGTGCGTGGTGTTCGATATCATTGCAGGTGGTCCTTGGGTGCCAGTGCAGAGCTGTAGTATGTCCGTTTCATCAGCGGGAAGTAGTTTTGGTGTCCACAGCCCGTTTTCTTGGATCGCGTGTAGTATCCCAGAGAGTGGTTTATCTAATGTTTGGCCCACGGAACACCGCCTCACACGCATCAGAGTTATGACAAGTTTGGCACAGTTGCAAAGCAGTGCGTAGATGGCCGCGTGTATATCACATTCAGCGGTCGACAAAATTTTGATTGTGACCTCGCCCGTGTTGATTCTCAATTGGTGCGCCCTTTTCGTAAGTCTGTTTGGCCAATGTTGCCTCGATGAAACTGCGAGGTGGGCGTTTGATACACCACACCTTTGAGCGCGCGCCACCAACAGCATGATCAGCAGTGCTAGTAGCATCATGTTACAGTTGCATACGTGCCCGTCTTTGCGAGGCGTTTCGGCCAACGAGTTGAGACATACCAGCGATTTAATCACTTGGGGATTGACGGTAAACACTTGCCTTCAAGGGGTGGGGTTCGAGATGCTTTATAACACACACACACACCCTGCCTCCGCCTTCCCTCCGCCTCCCTCCTCCCCCTCGTCCCTCATCCCTCCTCGCTGCCGCCTCCTCCCTCCTCCATTCCCCCCCCCTTCTCCCCTGCCAAGGACGAGGTATGGGGGTCGATGACGGCGACGACGACGATGGCAACGAAAATTGCGGCGACGACGACGGCGAGAGTCAGTAGGATGAGAACGACGATGTCGACGTCCACGACAACGATTACGACGCTGACATCGACGGCGACGATGGAGAGAGGGCGAAGGGAGGATGAGAGCAAGGGTAAGAAGGAGGGGGGTGCATCGAGGGAGGGAATGAGGAGAAGGGAGTCAAGGTAGCTTGGGAGTAGCGAGGAGCAGAAGAAGGAGGTGGCCAGAGAACGTGGACGAGGGAGAAGGGATGAACTTTCTCCCGCTTGCCCCCTTTTGGTTATTCTGGCTTCTTCTCGCCTTGTTCCTTCCGTCCTCCTTTTCGCCCTCGCTCACGTTCTCCTTCCGAGGCGGAACGCGGAGCGAGGGAGAAGGCTGGGGGAGGGCAAGAAGCAGGGACGGAAGTTGGGGGGTGAGGGGGAAGGCGATTAGGAGCAGGAGGACGACGACGAGGATGAAGGAACGAAGACGAGGAGGAGGAGGACGTCGGTGGCGCCGTTGTTGCCTGCGTTCCCGACGGAAGGTGCAGGACCTGACGAAAGGCTCGCCCTTCGCGGGCCCGGTCCGGCGGGGAGCACCACCGCTCGGGATCTGCGCCCGAACGGGAAGGGGTGGGGGAGGGAACCCGTGAGAGCCCCAGACTTTGAGCTGGCTGGGGGGCTGAGGTGGCCAAGACTGGGTTCTGGCTAGTAGAAGGGAGGACTAATAAAGGTACCCTTGTCACCACGGTTGGACGCGGCTCAAAAGTTTGGTCAGTTTCGGCCCCGAGAAGGGTCCAGGTTTAGGTTTTGATCGGATTTGCCTTCGTTCCACCTTCTTGACTGATTTTCTGGGGCTCATCTAGCGCAGACCCCCTGACCGCCTCCAAACCCAGACATCCTCGAGTCGTGAACCATTCCTCGACGACTGTTTTTGACAGTTTTCGGCCTCTGGAGGCCTTTTGCTTGGCCTTGGGGCGTTCACGGGGAAGGGGCTTGGGGCCTCAGGGGGCCCACGTTGAACAACAAGTAGAGATTGTGGGTTTGGGAGCATGGGGATGGGGCAGGAGGAGGAGGAGGGGGTGGTGGATGAGGATGAGCGACGGGGGTGGACTCCAGAAGATGCCTTCGTTGGCCTTCGGAGCTTTCCAGAGACCTCCAAATCTCAAGAGTCCTCAGGAGGCTCTTGGACACCTCCGGAGACTCCCCGAGACCGTCGGTGATCTTATCAAGGATGGAAGTCATGGGATGTTTTCATATCGTTGTCGGCCTCTTTGGCACCCTCGTCGATGCGACTGGATCCGCTTGGAATTTCGGGCAAGAACTCGATCCGGCGACAAGGGCTTTCCAGGAAGGTCAGAGATGACAACGAACGTACCATTCCTGCCCAGATCTGCGACGTCCTGATTAGTTCGCGTCGCCCCAGCCCATGGGGTTCTCGACCCTCTTCCTTTTGACTAGCCCTTGACGCAAAGGCGTTTTCGTTGACGCCCCGAGCCTCAGAAACGGCGACTGGATGCCGAACATCCGAGGCTAGGACTTGAACATATCCAACGCCTGGGCAGCCGATCTTTCTCCACCTCGGGAGGCGGTGGATATTTGGATGTGTTCGGGGCCCCTGGGGCCCGATTTCATCCGCCCCTTGGTGTCTTGGAACATCGTTTCCCCACGCGGATTTGGCCCGGCAGAAAGGGCGAACAGCTTGCGGCGTCGGTGCGATCGGATCCACCCGCAGGTCACCCGCGGGAAGGCTGGCGGCAAGGACGCCGACGACCCGCTGGCCAAGGCCTCCGCCCGTTCCTTCGGCTTCAGATCGGAGGGCGTCAACTGACCGAATCACCGATCCTGGCCAGAGCCGTTCTGGGCCCAGGATTACAGTGGAGGCCCATGCCAAGGAACACCATGCTGGCCTCCAGGGTGCCCTGGGTGTCGTGGGTTTCGATGGTTTTGCGATGGAAGGCGTGACGTTCCCACGCCAGGAATGAATGGACATCCTGGGGTCTCAGGGTTGGGCTTCTTGTGGAAGGTTTCTTGTGGACTTGCCTCCACTGTAGTGTATGCGCCCTCCTGGCCTTGGCAAGAGAGGCGTACAGGGCCGAGCCTGGGCCTGGGATCGGCCCAGCCAGGCTCGGTGAGATGCTTAGCAGAAGTCCCCCGATCAGAGTTTGTTTTTCCCATCGTGTTCATCCTGTCTCGCCTGGCCCTGCTCCCACATTTCACCTTCGCGTCCTCCTACGTCCTCCTGCGACCTCCTACGTCCTTCTGCTTCTCGTGCCCCTTCCTCGTCCTCCCCCCTGTCATAGTCTTCCTCCTTCTCCTCTTCGTTCTCTCCTGCCCCTCCTCGTCCTTCTTCCTACCTCTCCTCATTCCCCTCCGCCTCCCCATGGGCCCGAGCCCCCCCGCCCTTTAGCGGTGGACGAGGTGACGCCACTTACAACGAACAACGAGGTTGCGCACGAGATCCTTCAAGAGGGGGTATCAGACAAGGAAACATGATGATGGTGTTCATGGTAGCATTGTGTTCCAGAAGCTTCAAGGTGCCCTGAGATCTGCTGGTTGCGAACCTGCTTGGAACGCAAGTGGGGCGCCTGAGGCTTCCGCGCAGGATGCGGCGGGCAGCCGCCACTCTTAGATCCCTAGGAGACGGTAAGAGCAGCCCGTGCACCGTCTTGGATTGCGGCCTTCTTAGACGAAATTTCGTGACGTGGCCTCTCGGAGTTGGCGACGTCGGCAGAGTGCGGCGATATCGGCGATGACTCGGCCCACTTCGGGAGATTTGAGAGCCGCGGAGACGTGATTACTTCAGGTTTTCTCGGAGCGGGCGGCTAGGACAGATTCCAAGAAAGAGTGAGAGAGAGGCATATACATCTATATCTATACTAATAATAACAATAATGATAACAATACTAATAATAATAATGATGATAGTAATAATACATTTAATAAACACAAGGAAGGTCGGTGGCGCGCGAGCGTGCACGCTTTTAGCCAAAGTGGCCACGGACACGCATCGAGCTTACAAAGCATTAAAGCGGGCCGCTGCTGAGATGAGGATTTGTTTAGCTGAGTGCTCGCTACAGGACGACGCCAGAGCTGACCTGTTCAAGCGTGTGAATTGCCATTCGTGTTTCCCGCCAGTGCCCAGGATAATGACCTAGCAACGCAATTAGGGTTGGGCAAATCCTGCCGGCCCTCACAACCGCGAAGACTGGATTGGGCTGTCTGAAGGTGCAGAAGCGTTCATCTGAACACAAACCTCTGCCAACCCTGCCCCCGTGTTATAACTAATCGCTGTCGGCTCTATCCATCAATATCCTCATCTTTACTTTCTCCCCCTCGATCCTTGACAAGCCCTAACAAGCACGCGCGGGCTCCCCAGCGGATTGCACACGTCGCCAGACTTCGTTTGTTCGATCCTCCCGCCACCTCCCCCTTCCCCTCCCTTGTGTTTTTTTTCTTCGCCCGCCTCCGATTATTCCTCGTCACCCTCTCCCATATCTGAGCTTCCTCCGCGCTCCCTCCTGCTCCTACAATCCCCCGACGCGTCGTGGTCCGAGGCGCCCATTCTGGGATAGCAGCCCGATCGACCACGACCCCGGCCCCGTGAGGGGGGTGGCAGCGGCGGGACGGGCGCGCAGCCGCAATTGCGCTCGCCCGCGTGGCATCGCCGAGAGCGGCGCCGCAGGGCGCAGTCTCGTCCTCGCTTAAGACGCGCACATGGTATCGCCCGTGCCGAGGGTCATCACGGGAGTGCTGTTCTGACGATGACCACGGGCGGGAACAATGGAGCATGCGCACGGTGCCCGAGATGTTCAGGTTGCGAATGGAATTCGATCTTCATCCAACGGGAAATGCAAGTGTGCGGCCAAGCTCCAGCTCCACAAGGCGAGGCTTCCCAAAGGCTAGGGCGCGGGGAGGGACCAGGCCGAGCTTGGCCTCAGCTTGCCCGCGGCAGGCGCTGACCCCATGGCCATCCTCCAGCAGGCTGTGCAGATGGCGTCGCATCCAGCGATCAAGTTGGCGCCGCAGGCAGCGCTGGCTCAGCGGGCTCCCCGGGTGCCGAAGACGGCCGTTTCAGCGGGGGCGGTGCACCGCAAAGCGGAGGCGGCCTGGCGCGGCGCGAAGCCCGACGCGGCGATCAACCCCGTGGAGCGCGCGGCGGCGGCGGCGCAGCTGGCCCAGGCGCAGCAACGGGGGCGGGAGGCCGTCCGCGCGTCGGCGCAAGCATAGCTTGCCAAGAGGACGGCGGCGAGGGCCTTGGCGGCCGAGGCGGGCTTCTCCACTCCAGCCCCAGCCCCGCTCGAGAAGGGGGCGGCCCTGGAAGCGGGGGACTTCAGTTTCGTTGTCGTCTGGGCGGCCCCCTTGAGTGCGAGGGCGCAGAGGGGCGGGGGCTGCTCCAGCTGGAGAAGGACCCGGTCGCGGCCAAGTCCTACCTCGGCGCGAAGGGCGGCAAGGTGCGAGAGTGGCACTCGCGCGTGGAGGCCTCGAGCGAGCTGTCCGCGAGGATGGCCAAGGAGCGCGAGGGCACCGACGGCGCGCCGCAGGCAGCGGGCGGGCCAGGTGTTGGCGAGGGCGCAGCCAGGACGTCGACGGGGGTGACGGAGCCCGCGGCGACAGGCACGACGGAGGAGGAGTCGCCGACGGCGGCCCAGGAGCGCCCGGACGCAGAGATTGCGCGCGCCCGCAGCGCCAAGGCGGCCGCGGCGCAGGCGGCGGTCGCCACCGTTGCCCATGCCTCACAGGCGGCCCAGGCGGCAGCGGCCAAGGGCGGCGGGAGAGCGGCCCATTTGCATGAGCTGTGGACTTCCAAGGACATCAAGGGCAGGTGCGGGGCTCGGGAGATCTTCGACTGCGTCCACAGCCGCGCGCTCACGGAGCCCTTGGCCCACCTGGATGCGGACGAACACCGTCGCGCGCTTCGTGCCATGGGGGCCCGGGCGGGGCAGGGGATCGACCGTTTGCGGCCGCTGGACTTGGCGCGCTTGCCCGACGAAGCATTTGCTGCGTAGGCACAATTGTTCCACATGTTCGAGGAATGCCAGACTGGGCCTTGGCAGTTCAGAGCATGCTCGATGGGCGCGAGACCCGATTGTCCAAGCATTGTCTCAGGCTGATGCCCCAGTCTGGGGTGCATCGGTCAGCGGGAACTCGTCACCCAAGGAGGCCCGCATTCGAGCCTTTGACGATGAGCTCTACACCAGGCTCAAGATGTCAAACGGCCCCGCCCTGGCCGACATCCAGACTTCTAGACCTGATGGGGCGGGGTGTTTTGGTCAAGGGTGCCTTAAGATATGGGTTGCTATCGGCGATGCTGGGTTTAGAACTGCAGATATGTGTTGCTCCGAGGATGCTGGATCAAGGCGACGCGGCGTCGCTGCCCATCCAGGCCGCGACGCTCTGGCACGCGTTTCCCACGGTGTTTCGCCAGCCTCGTCATGGAGCGCCTGGCGGCGGCCCGCCCGGCATGATCGGAGCGTTTGTGCATCGGCGATATGTTTCAGACGGTGGTTGGATCGAGACAGTTTGTTCGCGAACCCCTGATCGAGGGGGTCGCAGCAGCGCGTGACATGCTCGAGGATGTAGGTTAGCAGTTGGCACCCGAGACCGCCGTCGCGTGTTTGTCCATGCAGGCCGCCAACGCCATTGTGCATGGTTTGCGTCGCCGCGGGACGAGGGTGCAGCGCGCCCATCAGTTGACCTACCTTGTCGTCGATATGAGCAGCGGGAAGCGCCTGAGATGGTCCACGCGGATCAAGCGCATGACGAACACCAAGATGCAGCATGTCACGTTGAAGGCATGCTAGCGCGTCGCGCAGATCTCGAGCGACGAACAAGATCGAGTTGGCGAGCCCCTAGGGCGCGCCATGGGCTTCAAGTTCTGGTTTTGCCTACCGCCGCGCCGCTGGGCCTGCGGCGGCGACTGGGCGCGGTTGCAGGGCATCGCCGAGGACGTCGCTTGACGACGCTGCTGGATCTGAGGGCGCCCGTGGCCGACCCCGTTTGCGCCCTCCCGCGCTAGTGTCTGGAGCTGTGGGTGCGATGTTGGCCGGGGTCCCCGCGCGTCCGAGGCCCCATCTTTCGGGCGCGGGCATTTGCCCCGCAGCCGTTATCCGCCCTTCCTCCTCAGAAGAGGTGACGTTGCGCGCGGCACTCACAGCTGTCATCAACTACCTGGTCAGTGCGGGATGGGAGACGCCTTAAGCAGCCACCTGGCCCCCGCCGCGCGAGGAGGGCGCGGGGGGGCGGGCGGCGCTGTGAATCGGATGAGTTTTGCGCGTGCGACAAGGCGCGGGATTTGATCGACAGGTTCGCCCAGTCGCTGCAGGCCGCCACTGGAAGGAGGCTGCTCGCTCATCCCATTCCAGAGGTGGAATGGAGAATGGCGTCGACAGTTTCAGTTTGCAGCAGCATCTTTACGTGCTCGAGTGTGTCCCTGGGCGCGGGCGTCAACCTAGCGAACTTAGGATGGCGATCGCTGTCGGGGGATCTTGGGCGGATGACATGGAACAGAATTATGGCATCGTGGTCTGTTGGGGCAGATGGCTCGGTCACATGTCGACCGACAGATTGAAGGTGCCCCTGATGAGGCGCCGTGCGCTGTGTGTACCGTGGCGTAGGACTGATCGCAGCTGAGTTTCGTTGCGCCCTTGCGAGTAGGGAAGACGCCGAACGCCGACGCCCCGAAATATTTCGCGGGGCGAACAGGCGCAGGGACCTCCGCGAGGAGCTGAGCAAGACCACGGCCATCACGACGGGGCCCACATCGCCTGCGGGGTCACCTGCGGT